CGTCTTTCAGGTGTCGGCAATCGTCAGTGTTGTGCCCATAATCTTTGTGGAATCGATAATATAAAATGCTTTTGGGCTTCATCGGTCCATCCTTCCTTGTCCGCGGCCATCTCACCACATCGTCGTGGATCTCCCTTTCCATTACCTCCAGAATTCTTGCGTGGGGAGCTGACAGGGGTGTGTATTGAATTGGCCTCCATCCTCTAGATCGTCCTTCACCCCTATCGGTTCGCGGTGATCCTCTTCTTTCTCCCGTCGACTGGCTCTTCTTCTCCTTTTTGTCGTCTCGACCATCAGTTTGGGACATTTTCATGCTTTTCAAGTAGTCGGCCTCTGCTTCTTCGACATTCATATACTTGGCACACCTTCCCAAAACATCATCGAAACTCCTACCAGGTCGTTTGGCCAATGAGTTTTTACATAACCCTGGTAGGAGTCCTCTCGTCAGTCCTCTTGATTTGATTTTCTCTGTTGCCGTTGGGCACTCGACACACGCCTTTGTAAACCTCGCCACATACTCTCGCAACGACTCGCCCTTCTTCTGCTGCATGCTAATCAACGAGAGGTAAGACTTCTCTTGCACCCTTACACTTGCAAATTGGTTAAGAAAGCTCGAGCTGAAGCCATCGAAATCCTTAATCAACCCGGCGGGTAACTGGTGAAACCAGTCCTGAGCCAACCCTGTTAGAGTCGTCAAGAAAGCGCGACATTGCACTAGGTCGCTGTAGTGGTGGAGCACTGCCATATTTTTGAAACTCCTCAGATGTCGAGACGGGTCAGTGGAGCCATCATACCATATGTTCAATTCCCTGAAGCCTTTCGGTAAGTCGACTCTCAGGATCTGCAGCGAGAATGAATGCTCTTTTGCTCCTCTGTTCTTCTTCCCCCCGACTCGAGCCTGCAAGTCGCTCCAGCAACTGTTCCAACGTCTCGTCCCTCGCTTGCGGATTGATAGTTCGAATGGAGGATTCCTCCTCGTCCACCCTTCTGTTCTGCTGTACGTTTGACTGAGCTTGTTGTTCGACACGAGGTTGTTGCTCGACCCGAGGCGGGTACTCGACGCGAGGCTGCTGCTCGACCTGCACCACCTGTTTCATCTGAGCGGCCACGGCTTCAGCGATCATCTTTTGCATTTCACTCCTCGTCACTGTCAAGGTCTGCTCCTCGACGCGGGGTTGTGTCTGCTCCGGTACCTCCTGTATCTGCTTTCCCTCGCGTTGAGACATCTCCGTTGGTTCCTTCTCTCCATCTGGGTTAGGGTTTTGACTTGTTCCTGCCTGGGTCAGCACTTGTAGCTTCACTCCAGTCGGAGTGACGGGCGTTTCTCCACCCAACGTCAGTCCTGGCTGTGGAGGTCCTCCAAATGGCGACATCCCCATCATCTGCATCATTGGGTGTTTGGGGGTGGAAAGTGGTGGTGGCCTCTTGTCCATCCACGTTCCCCTGAACTCCTCGTTCAGATTCCTCTACAAACCTTCCTTCTCTGCCATCAGCAAACAGATCGGAGCTGGGTGTGAAGCTCTTACTTCCTTCAAGAGCTCCCCACAAACGGCGCCAATATGATGGGTCTACTTCCAGATCTAGAGTAAACCGGTGGATTTGAGCTCAGATCTGCTTGAACCGCTTCTGAGTCGTTGCTAGACTGCGAGATACCTGCAAAAACTCAACGCCGGAGGTGTTTCCGGCGTAGAGCCTCCGACGCTCAAGTCAGTATGAGAGAGATGTAGTGAGGTTGCCCAGCAGCTATGGGGGAGTGTGGAGAATGAATGAAAGTTAGGGTTTGGTGTTACCTCAACTCCTTTATATAGGATTGAATACTTACCTGAAGTACCCAGAATGCCCAGGTCGGTGGACCTAAAAGGTCCAAAATGCCCCGGTCGATTCGTCTCCCCTCCCTGCTGAGTCATCTCAAGATTCCTTCTTATCCTTTGAAAATGTAGAGCTTTGAGTATGTTGCAAGTGTGATGAGCCATCATCACATCTTTGGTCTTTGAGATATATAGAGTCGACCTCGAGAGCTAGGAGGTCGACTTGTGATCATATGAGGACTCGGAGGTTACGCTTAGTTAGTTCCCTCGGGTAGAAGTCGTCTTCAGAGAATCATCTTAGTGAAGTCGACTACTGGGAGTCGACTTAGAGTATCTGGATGCTCGAAAGCTATGTTCTTGTTGTTCTTCTTATACAGATGTCGACTAATGGAAGTCGGCAAAATGAGGTCGACTTGTGAGAGTCGACCGGCTAGATTTCTGTCCTTTCTTGCTCGCTCTTTGTAGAGTCGGCTTTATGAAAGTCGATTGGAGCATGTCGACGGAGTCATATCGACATGCGAGTGGTTCGAGCGGTTCACCGGTCGAGTAAGGAGCCTCTGGACCAGGTTATCCTTATGTGGCTATATCATATTGTTATGCTAAATCTGGCCAGTGGAATTTATTCCGACATAATAATAATGTGATGAGTGGTACTAGTCTCGGTTATAGATGTCGATTAATTTAATTCTCAGTAATTAAATTAATTGATAGACATTATATCTTAAACACAGGGAGATAAATCGATTAATTATTATTGGAGACTCGAATACAATTCGAGAATTAAATTGGGAGTTTATTCAATAATACTACTTTAGTGGAATGGATGTATTATTCCTATTTGGATTTGGTAGGCTTGACATATAGTCTAATCGTAATAGGAAAAACCCAATTTGATATTTCCTTAAGGTCCCTGTTGTAGCCTATAAATACATCACATCTCTAGGGATTAGGAGAGATATCAGAATTCACGTGAGATGAGGATTCACGCCGTCCCTTTGTGCTCTCTTCTCTCTCTCTCTCTTGTATTCTCTTCTTCTTCTCCAAGTAATCCCCGTAGAGATATCTCAGATTTCATTGCCCACCAAGTTGATCGGAGAAGATGTCGGGTCATACTAAGAAGATCTGAGGTAATCGAGCGATATATATTTATCCAACCCAGTAATATATATATTCAACCCTGTAACGTTTCTGTAATTCACGCGGTTGTCCGATATGTCTGTCGGATGTATTGGAATCACCGGAGAAGATCCCCGGGAGATAGACAACCACCTACAAGCATGGAGGGGCCAGCCGCAGCCCATCCACGACCTGGTGGTGCCCAGCCACGGGCCACCGCGANCCAACGGCCCAGTGCGCGGCTCAGCGACGTCCAGCGGCCCAGTGCAGCCCGACAGTGGCCCAGACGCGACCAGACCTGGCCCAGCTCGTGCCCAGCGGTTCAGTTCGGTCCAGATCCAGTCCAGACCGGTTCAGCAAAGGTCCAGCTCCTGGTTCGAGTCCAAGTTGAGGTTTGGGAGGTTTGACCAAGTCAACGGAGATCCGGATGATCCAACATTGATGGTCAACGACCATTGATGCACGACAAGCGACACGATCGAGGTCCGCTGATCGCGAGGACTAGTCCGGCTGCCCAACGGACATGAGACTCATACGATCTCTAACAATGGAAATCAGAAACGTCTCAGAGTCGGTAAAAATTAAAAACGGTACACGTTGAACCCTCGCTTCTAGTTCTGCTGCGCTTAGGGTTTAATTAGTAGATAGTCTGTGACTTGCATGATCTCGAGATCCTCACAGATCCCATCAAGTGATATCAGAGCACTTAGTTTAATTCGATTTTGTGCAATGTTCGGACTTTAGAGGCTTATGTGAATTACGTGTGTACGGGCGGAGCCATATTTGTGTTGTGCAATGTTCGGAATTTAGAGGCTTATGTGAATTACGTGCGTACAAGCGGAGCCATATTTGTGGAATATTATTGCATAACTTTGTTTTGTAGGATAATGTGTTTCCACTGTTATGGCCTCGAATGTGAGCTTGTTTAATTATTGTTCGTTTTTAAAGCCTCGGACATGTCGAGTAATTTTGGGTTGTGAATGTTTGTAGTAATTATTCGTCCGGTGGGATACCGGATAGATGTAATTATTTTTGTAAACGAACATGTAAACCCATCCGTGGGTGTAGGATCAAATTATGTTATTTTTTATAAGTTATATTTTGATCGTGTGCGGACGAACCCGGACGACCATGACGACCGGGAGATAAACGAGACCACGGACCTCGACGACTCGATTGGCCACTGACCACCGCGAGATCACGACCGGCCACGTGAGTATGCACGGGAGCACGGCAGCTCGCTGCCAGGTGTCCCAGGTGCACGACTCATGGCTGCCGGAGGACGTTGGTCTACATTTGATAAATCAAATGAAAAGGTACACAATTCTACGGTAATGTACGACCAAAAAACATACCAAAACAGTCACTCAAAATGTACGTAAATATGATGTTCGTCTTCCCCTATAAACTACATTCATAAATTATTTTTTACTTTTCCTACCAAGGTAAGAAAACTTAAACAGTTATATCAATCTCTGCTCATGATTCAGGTTTATTATCGAGGTTTTTGTTTAAAGTATTCTTGATTAAAGATTAGTCGAATGTATAAGGTACTTTTTGTTATTTAGAAATTCAATCCCAGTAATTAAAGTATTACATTGACTTACTTTTTGTTATTTAGAAATTCAATCTCAGTAATTCAAGTATTACATTGACTTTTTCAATTTAGCACGATGTTTTTATTTTTATTTTTATTTTTTTGAAAATTATTCTAAATTATAAATTTACACTATGTGCCTATAATTCTTACACCCAATGATTATTAACTTTTGTTGGTAAAATAGAGAGAGTACATTTATCGCAAAATCCATCCTCACATTTTAAAAAGAAAAAATGTGCCATCTTCCTCCACCTCATAAATAGACGATTCCTGGTTTTCTAACGGTCATTACTAACTATCAATACAAGACCTCCTACTTTCCCCTCTAAAGAATCTAACAACTAAAATTAAGCTGTGCCAATAATCCCAAAAAACATGGTCAAATCACAAACATGTTTGCATGTAGCAAACAAGCACGCACCATCTCATCCACCCTATAAAAAGATCTTCGATAATGCCTATTTCTCNGAATAAATTTCACACAAGATAATCTTTTTGTGAAAGTTTTTTCTCACCTCCTTTTTCCCGAGCCTCTCTTCGCTCGCTTAGCTTCATTTTTCTTAAGGAAAAAAAAAAATTATAATGGGAGGCTGCGCGAGCAAACCCAAGGACTTGGACGTTGCCGAAAAGGCACCAGAAACGGTCGAGGCACCAGCTGTTGCCACCGACAAGGCCGAGGCTGAGCCAGCACTTCAAGTAAACAAAATCTAAAAAATCATTTTTTTTTAAAAAAACAAAAAAAATTCAAGAAAGGCATTCTCTTTCGCTTTCTAACTGCTATATGTAATATTTTCCCTATTTTAGCATTATTATTAATAACTGCTAAGAAACAAAAAGGAAAATTTTGAACTTGTGCTAATGAGTAATTTTTTTTTTTATTATTTATTTATGGATGAGTTAATATAACAGGAGGCGAAAGATGGAGATGAAAGCAAGGACAAAGCTGTGGTAGAAGCCTCTGAGCCATCTCAGAAAGCCGCAAAGACAGAAGAAGCCGAGGCCAAGCCAGCTGAAGAACCAAAGGAGGCTAAAGCCGAGGCTCAGGAGACGCCTAAAGAGGAGACAAAGGAGGCAGAAAATGGTGCCAAAGCTTAGAATAAGCAACTGCCACAAAAAGCTGAATAAAAAAAAGAAAAAAGAAAAAAGCCATGCACCATAATTTTATCCCATAACTTTTTTGAATCATAGATTTTGTTAATAGATGATGTTTCATTTTATTCTTTCAGCGCACCATAAATTTTGACATGAGAGATGCTAATTACTTCGAAATTAAATATATTCTCCACGGTCAATGGAAACGATAAAATTATTTCACAAAATCTTGATACGTCCAGTTTTATGTATTGAACTGACATTACAGAAGAGAATTGTTATAAAGAATGTGAAGTTCAAACAGAAGGTATGGCAGGGCACATATATATGATCTAAGAACAAAAATGCATCTTAATTGTTCTCCATTTTAGAATCCCAAAAAGATCAACTGAAACAAAATAAATAAAATATATTAATACCTGATCCACTCATCCACAAAAGCAGATACCCAAGCAGCTAATATAGTCTACAGTAACTCATGACCCAATAAAAGTTTCTTTGATAGTCTCAAAATATATACTCAATACATTCATCAATTGAAAAATATAATAAACATCAACTGCAGAGAGCTGCCAGTGTTCAAAGATGACAAAATGTAATTTGAGAGAAGGCTCAAAGTCAAGAAACGCAGAAGGCCAAATAAAATTGAAGACTGAGTGACAATTAAACATTTGCATAAGCAAATAGTTTCTAACATCAAATGATAATAAACCGCAGTGCGAATCAAACAAAACCATCCAGCATGACTTGCACCGGAAAACTGTAAATTCATCTTCAAATACGTCTACAAGAAGTCTTAAAACAACAAAAAATAAAAACAGGGCAGCACATGCAGAAATTGAATCCACCAACAATAAACTCATACTTAAAATACTTATTCCTCTTCCGCTACAGCTCCCTTCTCGCTCACGTAGATGCCATCAAGGAACTTCCTTATATCTTTTTTCTTCACATGGCATTTCTGTCAAAATGTACACAAGTTACCATTATTAGATTACATTTTACAAGAATAAAATAAAATAGCAAACGTTCAATTATATATCATGTTTTACCTGGTTTATCAGTGCAGCAGAACGAGATACGAGCTCAATGTCATTTCCATCCAAAACCAACTCATCCTTAACCTTCTCAGACCGCAAAACAGTAACACCTTCAAGCATATCCACCTTCCTTACCTAGTTTATGCATAGATAAAAAATAAAAAATCAATAAATAGTGTGGTTCCAGTTCAAAATCTCATGCTCAAGCAAGACTGATAATAGATCACACAATACAAAATCCAAGAAAGCCTGTTTTATACAAGTAATCTCAAGAAGTACAGAAATAAACATGCATACAGAATAAGTAAGATGTCATTCACACTTGTACTCTAAAATAAACACACCACACCATATACATTAACATTTAAAATTCCAATAAACAACAAGCAGCATTTCTAAGTCCATTTGGCACATTTCCATTTGAAGTTTTAAATCAGCATAACACTTTCTAGCAACTACGAGAGTAATATTCATGTTATGATATGCCTGGGAATGCTCAAGCTTAAAACATGAAACCCGGTTAAGTCAACAATCCACCAAACAACACTACCGAGGAAACAATTAGTCACCAAATACGTAATAAACAATTCACGTATTCTCACTTATTCACAGCCAGCTAAATGCAGAACAAAAATACTTATTCACAGCCACCTACATACAGAACAAAAATACAAACGATAACTTTCAACACCAGAGAGAAATGCAGAAAGAAAATTAAAAAAATTACAAAAAAATGTAGATAGAATCTCGCATACCTTCTTCTCGCCAAGGAAATTACGGATCTCAATTGCAGTGCCGTTGTTGTTGATAGACGCATTGATCGGAAAGTGAGCATAGACAAAACGCATCTTGTATCGGTATCCCTTGGTAACACCGTTGATCAGATTCGCGACGTGGCTGAGGGCTGTGCGGATGGCGGCGGTGGTTTTCCGGCTGCTGAACCAGGCGTCGACCTTCAACTTCTGCTTTCCGGTGGCCTCGTCCTTGATCAGCTGGAAATCGAGGTTCAAATGCTTAAAGTTGCGAGACAGCTTGCCCCTTGGGCCCTCAACATCGATGACCTTGGCGTTCACCTTGATCTTCACGCCGTCTGGGATGTCCATGCTGTCGGAGGAGAGAATCGCCTTCATTTTTCCTGCGTTTTTTCTTCTTCTCTCTCAGACGGGTCGGCTAACAGACTTGGGCGGAGCGTGGAGGCCAAAAACTTGACGTTCAGAAAACCCTAGCTCAATTTATAATGGGAGCGATGTGTAATTGGGGGAAATCAAAACCCTACTGGTTTGGCTAAGAGTATTTGGAGTAAGAGTGGGCCGGTGTTATAAGGCCTACGTATGCTAGTAGTACTAAGCTGAAACAAATTTGGGCTTTTAAGGCTGGTTTAGACCCTCTCTCTATACGTTGTTTTTTGTTGTTATGAGGAAATAGTTATTTTCACCTGTGCTATAAATAATGAATAAGTTTTCACACTGTTAAATAATATGTTGATTTTATCACCTCATTAGGTGCAAAAGAAACTATGCGATAGACAGATGAAGATAATTAATAAAGTGTGAAACATATTATGTGATCAACTACTCGAAAGACAGGCGGAGATAATTGACAGAGTGCAAAACACATTATGCGACATACAATGCAATAGACAGGCGAAGTTAACTATAAAGAATGAAATATATTATGTGACAAGCTATGTGATAGACAGACGAAGATAATTGACAAAGTGCTAAACACATTATGCGATAGACAGGCAAAGATATAAAAGGAAGAAACAAATTATGCAATGAGCTATGCGACATATAAGCGAAAACAATTGATAAAGGGCGAAACAAATTATGCGATGAGCTATGCGATAAATAGATAAAATAATTAATAAAGTGCGAAACAGGTCATGCAATGAGATATGCGACAGACATACGAAAATAATTGATAAAGTGTGAAATATTTATGCGATAAATTATGCGACAGACGGTCAAAAATATTTGACGAAGTGAGGAAAGATTATTCGATGAACTTGTGAAAGACACGTGTAATAATTGATAAAGCATGGTTCTGAAAACCGAGCCGGTCATCGAACCGGTGAAGCTACTTGTTCAATGGTTCACTGGTCAAACCAGTGGCCGAACCAGTTTAATTAATATATAATTTTTCATTTATTTTATATGTATACTATAAAATTATATATATTTTTATTATTAATATTATACTGTATGATATTTCTCTAAATAATAACTCAATAGTAGATACAATCAACAATGTTGATTACTGTTTATATTTTTTATATTTAAAATTTTAATCTATATTTAAGTTACAAAATTGAAAGAACAGAAACAATCCTATTTTCATTTTAAATCACATTTCAAATTTTTTATTATTGCTTAAGAAAATAAAAATAATGTACATAACAAACAACAATAATTTGTTTATTTCCTTTTTTATAATGTGGGAATAGATATAGCCAAATTCATAGTTCAATTTAGAAAATAGTTCATTTTTTTTTAATGGTTACAATATTGTTTGTAAGGCCCAATATTGGCCCAATAATTTTACTAAGGAAACTATCCCACATTGGAAACACGAGCAAAAAAAAATGTGCTATTTAAATCACTTCACAATCAACCAATTTAAAATTTAAAATCTTGAACCGTTGAACCATTCGAACCGGTCTCAGTTCAACCAGTTTTGGACCGGTTCAAACGATTATTGCCGTTTGACTTAGATTAAATATTGGGACTTTAGTTGATAAAAATGCGACATTTTTAAAATATTAGTCCGGTTGTGATTTTTAGCTGTAGTTGTGGGATGAAAATTCCTAATAAATCAAGTAGACTTTAGTTTTCAAATTATCGGCCTTAAACGAGTTAGTATTTTCGAGAATCGAGAACCCTAGTTTTATCCGGTTTGGATAACCGGGTAATATTTGGATCTGCGTTTATCATCCGAACACTAGTACCTTTTAAACCACTTTAGACGTCATAAGATTATAAATGAGTCATTGGGTGTCAGGATGTGGTCGGTCGGCCGTTAGTCGCCGACAGGACCATAACCGAGCTTAAGAAGGCTATCGATGTCGTGTGCCTCGAAGCGAACAGAATTTTTCCAACCGACGTGTATTAACACTTATCTTTAACGTGATTCGATATCCCGCACACGTTTTCGACCCTCGTCCGACCGTTGGAGCCGAAACACCAAGTGCGTGCCCGTGCATCGAGTCCGAGTTGAACCACCGAGTGCGTGCCCGTGCACCCAGTCCGTCCGATCTACCGTCAACGCGCCATTCCGTTAGCCGTGGTCCAAGCACGGCCCTGCTTCAGTGACTGTGGCACCATCTCAAATCCGCGCAACGTCAAAGTCGTGTCAATTGTGTTCGTGCAGCCCCCGAGTTGCCATGCCGAACCCGGACCACGGTCAAGCCGAGCTGCACATAGTCAAGAAAATGATCGACCGGCTCCGAGTGACCCCTCGGTCCAGTTCAGTCGAACCAGTCCAGATGGCTCGAAGAGAATTCCAGTTTAGCCGAACCAGTCCGGGCAACCCCGACGGTTTGAAGAGAATTTCAGTCCAGCCGAATCAGTCCGGGCAGTTCGGACGGTACGGGAGTTCAGTTTGGAATCTTAGTTTGAGCATGAACCGAGAATCTAGTTTTCTGAACCAGTCAGAATAAATCCAGTTAGATCAGATCCGCCAGATTAGATTTTAGTCAGAATGTATTCCAGACTTAGAAATATTTTCGAGAACTCCAGAGTGCCTTATAAACAATAAATTTTCAAAATCAGCTCGTAAATTCCAAGAATAAGTTTTAAATGATTTTAAAATCGAGTGAGTGAACCTAGTCATATTAGATGATAAGATTCGAGTTTTTCAATTTGAGCTAAGTACTTAAAATATATATGGTGCTTATATATTTTGTAGCTTGTGGGGAGTCGAGCCTCCAACAGTTGTAATCCATTTAGCACTTGCACTTCAGCATATAGGTGGGGACCCTGTATTGGGTACTACATTTTCTATAATGGCAATATCCTGGTATGTATGTAAGAGTTAGTTTGCCCGAATAGGGGCAATAACCTAGCGAGTAGATCCTTTCTAGCTAAGTGAACCGAACGCTAGTTAAGATGAGATAAGAACTCTAGTGCAGCTTTGAGTTACGTGAATTAAGAACCTTAGAACAGTTTTGAGTTAAATTAAAATTTCATATGAGATTAGAACATTTCTTCCCTAAAGGGTACCGACCTAGAGAACGGTTCCTTTATAGCCAAGTGTCCTTTTCGTAAGTCGAGCAGCAGTTATAGTCAGTCAGTCGAGCGATAATTATAGTCAGTAAGTTGAGCAACATTTATAGCCAGTCAGTCGAGCAGTAGTTACAGACAGTCAGCCGGTAGCAGACATAGACAGTCAGTTAAGTAGCATCTATAGACAGTCAGTCGAGTAGCAATTATAGACAGTCAGTCGAGTAGCTGTTATGTGTTCAATTATGGACAATTTACTTATTTATACGCCTATGGGGGCGTTTATCTTATTCGATGTATGCTTAGGTTGCGTGTGTTTATCATATTCGATGCGTGTTTAATTAGCAATCCGTTAGTAAAATGTTTATCATCGTATCGTTTCTGCCAACCCAGTAAGTACGCATATATGTCGATGTCATGATATGTTATTATATTAGTTGTTTATTTAGTGTCGGTTCCGGCAGAGCACCGTTGATTATATATGCTCACACCTCCCCACTAACCATTTTTCAGGTGACAGGGTCGAGCGTGGAGCGTGAGCCGAGGAGTGGTGGTGGTCATAGCGAGGATATTTTGATATGAATATGTCATGTATATTTGAACATGTTTGAATTATTAAGTTTTGCATTTGCATGCTTATATTTACTTCCGCATTCAGAACAGTATTAAGTATTCAAAATTTCAGTTTATGCATGCCTAAAATCCTGAGATTTTCATGGCGCCTTATTCGAGTAATGAATTTTATCTCGGTTGCATGCATAATAGTTGTTCGCCTATATTTTTAAAGCTCAACCGCAAGTGTACAGCTTCGCTTGTAGTATGTGGCAAGCAAAGTCGTATCCCAAGAGACCAAATAATTATTGTACCAATTACTAGATTATGATAGTGTCAACTTTATTTAGACGACCGAATATGAGATGGATTACTAAACTAAGAAAATATAATAAGTATCACAACCAATGTTTTCTTTATCTCCCCTATAAGATGATCACAAATTTAGCTTATCGTTCCTCTCAAGATCAATAAAACCGTAGATTAAATCAAAGTATCACAACCAACAATAAAGAACTAGCTAGTAAAACACATAAGAAAATATATGAGAACAATAGATTTTAAGACTGTCGTTTTAATTATTAGTTGGGTTCCTTCAAAAGTATCACAACCAATGTTTTCTTTATCTCCCCTATAAGATAATCACAAATTTAGCTTATCGTCCCTCTCAAGATCGATAAAACCGTAGATTAAATCACATATATTAGCGTCTCCACTCAACACATGCAATTCAACTCCAAATAGATTAAAAGATCTAATATCCTCACAACGACCTACTAATATCTTGATTCAGGCAAGTAAACTGTGTCAAATATTAAAGACCTAACATTGAAATCATCTCTAGAATTATGAACAATATTGTCAAACATGTAAAAACATTGGCCAAGTGCTAAACATGAAATAAGAACAAAATATTTGAATATGGTTCAAAAGAAAACAATCAATTATAATAAATTATCCATAATCCCAACATATTAATCTACTACTAAGTCTTAGAATCAAATAAGCTAGCCACTCATGTTTGAATTAAAATACATAGACACATTAGAAATCGACATGATAAACAAAAGTTCAAAAGAAAGAAGAAAGAAAAACTAAGAATCTCGTCGATCTCTCAATCTTCTTGATCCATTCGTAGTTGATCTTCTTTTGCTTCCCAATTGCTTCTCTTGTGTGTTCTAGGGCTCCTCTATTGTGTATTCACATTCGCCCCTCTCAAAATAGGGTAAATATGCCTTTTATAATGTCCAAAACCCCTCTCCTTTTCAAAATAGGCAAGATATACAAAACAGTCTGCGCGTGCGACACGGCCACTTTGCCCATGTCACCGTCCGTGTCGCAGCCCATGTCAGGTTCCTGGGCTTGGAAATCTCTCTGTTGAGGTGACACGGCCCCTGACACGGGCATAATGCCCGTGTCAGCTCTGCACACTCCTTTTCTTGCTTGTTTCACTCGTTTCTTCTATTTTTTCTATCCGTGCATCAATCTTTCACCATCTCGGGGTTCCTAGGTACTCACCATGCGCCTCCAATAGCCAAAAACTCTACAAATATATAAATAT